TTCCATATAGCTTTCATGACTCACTCCAATATGTTTAAATTAAGATTAAAGATTAAAGATCACTTTGTTCGCCTATTCCCACAGCTCCTGTGGTATGGTAAAGAGATCAAAACTGGAGGGCTTTATGGGGAACATCTTTAACATTTGCTCTGCTCTCAGTGTGCTTGATTAAATGTAACATTTTGAGATCTCAGAGTTCTGAGAAAAGCATAAATCATTGTCTCGCAGCTGCTGGTGTGCTTGGGGAAAACACATGCTATCCCTCCCTCTCTCACTTTTTTGTCTTCTCTGTGAACACAAAGCCCTCCCGACCTGCTGGTCCCCCTCCCCTGGTGCAAGTCTGGGTGTTGGTGGTGGTGGTGGGGGGGGACACCAGGCTGCCGCTCGCCATGACGTTCGGCATAGACCCCAGCTCCTCACAAGCCTTCATGCCCCTCTACTCCCTCACACTGGCCCTGTCCGAGGCCCCTGGGTCTTTCCCATCCATCCGCAGTGTCGGCCGCAAGATCGAGCCGAGGAGGACAGTCAGCAGGTCACTATCCAGGGACCGAGATTATCAAGCGGTCTTTTTAACTTTGCTTGACTCTGATTGAATCCACAAGTCATTATATATATATATATATATCTATATATCTATATATATATATATATATATATATAGATACCAGTCGTGAAACACGGGCATGTCTCCCGGTGTGTGCTAGTGCAGGATGAGAGGTCCCTGGCTCTCCCAGAGGACTAACCTGTGACTCTGTGATGCAGCCAACCTGGATCGCTGCCCGCTGCGATCCAGGTCAAACTCCTCACTTACCGCACTGCCCTTCGCTTAATAATGCCATTGATTTCTCCTTATTCACGGGGCCATAAAATAGCACACGCATCAAGAGAAACATTTTGAGACTATTTTGTTTCGGTGAAACTGCCCAAATGTTTTTTATCTGGGACGGCAGCTCAATGAGGATAAATCATCTGTGACTGTCCCGTTGTGATGCAAAGGGTTAACAGCTTGATATGATATTGCGCTACGTCTTTGGATCTCTAAAAGACTGGATTTTTTCAATGCGGAAATGCTCAGTAACTCTGCGTTACAACCCACGGATTTAATTGTGTTCAATTTATTAGAATGTTCCGACCTCAAATCCACTGAACAAAAACACATTGGTCTGAATAAGCAGGAGTTGCAAGTGCATGGGGACTCCCACCGAGCGCCAGAGCCACCCGACCCAATCTCTACATTTTTCTTTCTTTGGAATTTGGTTTTCTCTGGTAAACAATTAGACAGAAAACAGATGTCACTGGCTGTATTTGAAAGAAACAACAGGAGTGCTGCAGAAAGGAGAATAAAACACGCCTGAAAGCTGCCGTTAAAATGGCGGACGGCGCATTTTATCTAAACCAGCATTACTCCAACGCTGTGAAAGAAACGTTCCCCGACGAGCTTATAGGCTTGTTCTAAAAATAATCAGGCTGACAACTGTCATAGAAGGACGTCGAGAGAAGAGTGCTCCCCAGAGACCTGTGTGATTGGCTGTTACTGAAGAAACTAGCTGTCTATAAGACTAACTGCCGTGTTTCAGTAGGGACCAGAGAAGAAGATGGGGGCCTTCCTGAGCCTTCAGAAAGGAGTAAGGAAAAAGTAAGCCATGGAGGAAGTGGCCTCTGGGATGAATTAAAGGACCCATAAGGAAAGTGCTTGCACTTTCCAGAGCCTGTCACGTCCTCTAAGAAATGAGACAACACAGGGATCACACATACATGACCAGTGGGGAATCACTGAAAGGCTTCCCTCCACTTACAATCAACCGCAGTCAATCACCGACACCAACAGCAAGGCACACGTACATGAAAGCAGCCTGGCCAGAGAGTATACAGCCCACAGCACTGCTCACGTCCACCCCAAAAAAGACAGAAGCGACTAATCAAACGAAAAATAAAATATGAAAGTTGATCGGGGCTCCTTATACCTTAATATCTTCGGCATGTCTACGGTGTAGGAGTGAGTTTTTTGTTATACTACGTTCAGTGTATAACAATCACGCTTTAAGAATTCGCTAAATGGAATCAACAGAGCCACATGGGAGGAATAAAATGTGTTTGATGCCGAGCCCAAGTGCTTCGGCAATTCAGAAATGTCATGATCACAAAAAAACGTTGAGCGTTCAGAGTCAGGCCCCGTGGGAGCAAAAGGGTGCAGCTGACTTGGAGTGGCGCTGCTCCACCTTTCATCTGCGGCTGAATGAGGCGTTGCATCCATCATTCCATTAACACTGGTCTAACAGGCTCCCAGTCACCCTCCGGATGACAGCGGGGACATGGGACATGTGGACTGAGCAACTTCTTTGATGTAAGCCTGACCACAAAACACAGGCCTATAAGACACCCACACACACACACACACACACACACACACACACACACACACACACGCGCGCACACACACTTTTCAGGCTCTTCCTTCAACAGTGTGTTTGACACAACACACTCAGGGAGAGAAACCTTTGAGTTTGGTGATATTGTTACCGTCAAGCTGCTCTGCCGACTCCGGCTCTGACTGTACTGACAGGTATATTGCAGATAAAAGAAAGCTTTCTGGCAGAAATAGTGTGTGTGTGTGTGTGTGTGTGTGGGGGGGGGGGGGGGGGTGCACATCAGCTGCCAGCAAAACGTGTAATAGCTACGTTGTGGAACGTGATATTCTCACGCTTTTGGGAAGAAAGCCTGACAATACGTTTCGTTTGCAACTAGGAAAATGACTGTGGGTCTATTATCTGTTAAAAACACAATATTTTAAGAAAGCATCAGCATTTGTGTGCATTTCGATGGCATTTCTAGCGAGAAGTATGCGTTATATTTTCATATATCATCTTCTATCAGAGAGTGTAGAAGTTTCTAGTGACGTAGTTGCAAGGCAATGTAAATGAATGGGTCAAAATGAAAATGTAGTATTGTCACGATTTTGGGGAGAAAGCGCGAGAATACCACGTTCCACAACGTAGCTATTACACGTTTTGCTGTGAGACTGGATTGCAGCTGCAGCGTTTAGTATTAAACAAGTGAAAAGTGAAAATGTTCCCTCAAATTGCTATTGATTCATTCCAGTTTGTTTGCTCTTGTGCCTCCCACCAGCCATGAAGAATTAAAGCCTTGACTAACCATCAAATAAAGAACAAAAAGAGGGAGAGAGGGACGAGATTTGAGATTAAAAGCAACAAATGAGGTTAAGAGATATAAGACGTACACAGCCATAGTGGGGGAAGAAACAAAGAACATTAAATACAGAAGGGTGGGGGGTAGTCTGAGGCCGTGATGAGAAGTAGCGCAGGCCTCCACTGCTCCACATCTGCTGGAGATATATCCAGGGCTTCTGAGAGTCCCCCGCTCCCCCCTTCACCTTCATCTTCTTTCCGTCTCTCCCTCCTTTTCGCTTCCTTTTGGTTCTCTGGTTTGTGTTCAGATCGGGTTTTAATTTTTAAAAATATGTTTTTATGAGCCATTGCTTTGCTGAAATAATATGCTCTCTAAATCAAAGTAATAGCCTGAGGTGCTGCACTAAATAGAATTCACCAGTTTCCTAAAATTATCTGTCTCTGTCTGTAAAGCCTGTGAAGGGTGAAACAAGCCCCCTTGTCAGATTGCTTTTAACATCTACTCTCATGTCGCTGGATACTTATTCGATGAACATCCTCGCATTCGTCAAACCGGGAGTTGCCTATGAAATGTAAGCTTTTCACCGCATTGCTTTTTCAATTTAAGGCAATGTCCTGGGCCCTCTGTTCACCAGCAATGGGACAGTGATTGACTGGAGGGAACATTCAAACAGCAGTGGAATGGAGTCTCTGGTCAGCCTATTGCTTTTAAACCACAGTTATCTTCTTACTTCACTACCCTCTGAGGCACAGCTGGATCTTCTCCTTGCAGTTTGAAACCACCTGAGGGCCGGCTCTATCTCTGCCTCGGCGCTGACATGTTTAAGGGCCCCCGGGCCTTTTTTCACGCAAGTCAAGGCCACGCTATGAATCTCTGCAGACCTGGGTTGAAAGTGATGTACAGTTAGGCCAGAGACAGAGTAATGGACGTGTATTGTTTCACATGGTCACCACTGGCTTCTCATGGACCTGCTGTTTTACTAGGAGTTGGTTATAACGGCCCAGAGTGTACTTGAGACTCACCTTTTAGAGACAGTCAAGTACATCTACTTCCAAAGGCATCAATATTCCCTGGGAGCCCGATAAGAGAAGTAGTTACAGGTGCAGGTGGGGAGGAGAGGTTTGTGATGACGTACTGATATTCATGTCCTGTGTTCATGGAAGAATCCTCTACAGGAGCCGTTCAGGCTAGAGACACTACCAGAGATTACACAGAGTTGTATTCATCAAACATCCATCTAAAGGGTCAAACGAATCATGCACTACAGCACTGCATGAGTTTTCAAATCTGCTACCGAAAAATCCCAGGCCCTCCCTCTCCGACACACACGCATAAACCCACACAGCAGAAATATAATCTCTGGTCTCAGGGCTCACTCAGAAAAGGCAACCTAACATCAGCGCAGCCGTCCAAAGCAATCCTCCGAGTGCTTAGCTGTTGTTAGGCAGCTCGGCCCAGCGCTGACAGAGACTAACTGCTGTTTAGAGAACGCGTACTGCCTGCAAAGAGGCGCCGCGTTGCCAACCCTGCCTCAAGGATACGGGAGTGGAAAACGCTTATCGGCTTTACTAAACAAATAAGTGAAAAAAGGGGCATTGCTTGACATTAAAGGAAGGAAAATATGACGGCCCAAACAAACCAAGACTCTCGCATTAGATCATCAATAATTGAGATGGAATATGGACCATTAGCACCCGTCACAAGTCCACACACCAAAACCACCACCGGAAAATCGGCAAGAACAAAATAGCACATCAACGATTTGTCCAGTCAGAAATCCACAGAGCAATCTAGAAGGAGAGGAAGGAAAGGAGGCGTAATGCCTCCCCTTGCACCATCTCGTCAGCCTGTACCTGAGTTCCTGAAGTCGTCTCCTTGCTGAGGGACCTGAACAGAGAAGACTAGCAGGTCAGGAGCCAGCAGAGATTCAGGTTTCCGGATCTCATTGAGCCAGCGGCTCATGTGGAGTTCTTTGGTGTCGGATGGGCCCTGAATCAGAGGAACCAGCTTCTCCTTAACACCATCTGCTGAACCTAAGACACGAGAGTTAAAGGTTAATTAATGTAATGAAACTCCCCCTGTGAAGACAGTTATATTCACAAGTCTTGCTTTGGGGACTACAAAGAGAAACCCTTATTGCCATCATTGAAATGTGTCTTGAACCAAGAGAAGAAGAGAAAATAATAGCCAAAATATTAAAAACACTTTATGCTTAAAGGGTTCTCATGTTAAAGTAGCTATGTTAACATATATTACAGCGTTTATCTGCAAATAAAGCAACAGTCTGGGCTTTTAAAGCAAAAAGAGAGAAGTAAAAGACGGCATGTCATCAAAACGGCATAGGAGTTCTTAGGGACAATTCAAAGACTTTTGAATCATAAGAAAATATGTCAAACAGACGAAAATGCTGCCACAAGGTAAAGCTGTCGCACAGGAAAATGATGGACAGTAGTACTTCTCTTTTCTTATGTGTACCTTATTTTCCGCTCATGGAACTTTTTCTCTTTGTATATCAAATATTGACAGCTGCAATAGATCTTCCAATCGGCCTGAAATCATGTGCACAGTTTGAGCCTGTGAACTCTCTGCTGTGACACTAGCTCCTATAACATCCTCGCTATCAAAGGACATGGCCAAAGCCCAATGACGATGCCCCCGGGACCAAAAAACAGTGAGCGAGTCCCAGAGCTGGGAGGAGATGAAGATAGATCGGGAGAAAGAGAGTAAAGTGTGTAAAAGTAGGATTTAAAAACAGAGTAGGAAGAGTCTCGTCGATGCCGCTTTCTCCCTCCTACACAGGCAGTAAATTTTTAACAGGGCACAGCTGCACACACCTGGGGTCCTGGCGCACACTTTTACGGCTCCCACGGTTCCCGAGGCGCATTTCACCGTCGCACGGCTGCAGAGCTTCAGCTCCAGATTTTGGACTGAGCCCTCGAGGGTCGGTGACGGACCCGGAGACTTCACACCTAATAAAAAGAAAAATGAAAAAAACACAAACAGAGTGAAAATGAAGTGCAGTCCGGGGAGGTTTAAACACTGCTGCCGTGGCTCGGTTTAACACTTGATTGGCCTTTAATTGGTATTGACCCCTCTCAGAGAAACCAGTTGTGAGAACCCAGGTGCTGCAGAACGCTGATATCACCGACACCAGGGCCTCTGTTTCCAAAGGGAACCCGTTGTGTGTCCATGCCCATATTGACAACAACACTTTGAGAAGTTTGCTTGAACAAAAATAAACAAATACCAAAGGCTAAATTGAATAATAGCACATTTTATGATAAAGTGTATATACACACGGCTTCATCAGTAACCGACATGTCAGTGCTGATACAATCCATGTCAGTTCTGAATGCTTTGATGAATGTGTATTCATCTGAAAAGGGAAACTGACAGGGTGTGCTTTAAAAGCAGTACATTTCATTTGGATTTGGAGAGAACATGCACAGTATACAGATGAGGCTTCTTCAATCCTACTGGGTTGAATGACTTTCAATTAAATAACAGGGACTATTAGGAGAGTGAGCAATGGGCAAGCATAAAAGATATATCCTTCCAGAACAATATCTGATCTGAGCTGATGGGCGACTACATACTCGTCATTACGATATGTGAATGCTATTTTGATGGTAAGATGCTATTTCAGACACTCAACAAGAGGAAATGGGGGGAGGAATGGCTAGGCGGATAAAAGATACTTTAGAGTTTCAGGCTGTCCACCGTAAAAGTGGCTGTTGAGAGAGGGGAGGAGAACCCATCCATCGCCTGCTACAATCTTCAAGAGAGAACATTACATTCTCATGTCACCTGTTCCAGTGAGGCTTCGCTTCTCACAGTACGGCACCTTTCTTAGGGCCATTGTGCTTTGTTTTAGACAAGTCTCCACAACACATCAGGTTCATTATTTGGAAACCGTTCCACATCCTCAACTCTCCCCCCCCCCCTTTTCTCTGTCCGTTCAGTGAAACCACTCAATCACATTTTGTCTTGTTTAACACAAAAAAGAGCATATCGCATTTCTGTTTGCAGATGTTATTCCCAATCAGCTAGTTGGATTAGTAGTTTGGAGGCAGTGTGGATTCAAGTAGACACACGGCACATTTAACCTGGAGAATTACTGCAATTGCTAAAATGCCTAAGCGTAGACTTCCCTCCTCTCGCTCCCAGACAAATTACCCAGCAACCTCTTCACCTGCTGTCTGAGAGGCCCTCCATCAGCCCAGATGGAAGATGGGGATGTTAATAACGCTCCCTCTGCCCCCCCGCCTGCCCCTTAATGTATCTGCAGGTCAAACAGAGCAGTGCTGCATCTGCCTCAGTGGCTCCAGGTACTTGCTTCTCTACAGGACAGATGTTTGAAGTGTAGTTCTGCTGGATTTATTTTGTAAAGGCAAAGATGCATTACTACATACATAGAACATACAAGCACACATGGTTTCCAAAAATGAGTAAAACAGTGTTTTAGATGATTTTCATACGGTATAGATCATTGCCATGTTCTTGAACTTAAACTGATTTTTCAGACCAAATAGCGACCATATTGTCATTTTTAGAGAGGCTTGCAAGCTAGATTATGCATGTAGAGACATTTGGGTTATTTGATGAGATCCAGTACTAGAGAGAGAGATAGAGAAAGACATAGGCTCTTCATAAAAATAGGCTGCCCTGCCTGGAAACAATATAGCTTACATACATATGCCATAAAAGTATTGCACCAGACATTTTTACTTTATTATCAAGTATGTCTCAGTAAACCTAAAAACACATGACCCTTAAAGCCCCACAATATGGTGGAGAGCACATATCCAGACTCAGTGACCGTTTGGCCTGCAGGAGAAGTGGTTGCAGCAGTGATGAGTAGGCCTTCACACACGCTGGCTGCTCCCATGAGCCCTTCATTGTTTCAGGCAAAGATGGAGATGTTGAAAGTGCAAGATTAATGTGCAACACAACAGGGGCCATTCCCCCTGCTCTATTTGTTCTTTGATAACTGGAACTAGGGGTATCACTATCCCACGTTGCCCACGTAGATGTCCTAAAGGGCACGGTGCACCTGCTGGGGTGGTTGGTGGTTGCCTGGGGGGGCTCTGGGCAATGTTTTGTCCAGCTGTTGGACTATAAAAAAGTGGGGTATGCAGGAAGAGAGGAACACACAGGGGTGGGTAGTTTGTCGACTTAACAGTGGTATTCACTTTGGTTTATGAATGCAAGATGCATTAGCCTTTGTGTATGTGCGTGTTGTGGCCAATGTGTGCGTGCATGCGTTACCGCGCGTGAGAGTGCATGAGTGACTGAATGTGCGTGGTGCTGTTACTCGTCAAGCAAGGGCAGGTGCAAGAAGTGCATAAACACACAACTAGAGGCCAGAGTCGACGGCACTCCATCAAACACAGCGAGGGCAACTGGGCAGCTGGATTAGCCATTCTGAGCGCCGTGAACGAGTGTGGAGAATAGGAGGGAAAGGAGGGATGGAAAGTCAGAGAAGAAATACTGAGGGACAGAAAGAAAAAAAAAAAAGACAGAACAGACAAAAAAAAAGAAGAGAGAAAGCACACATGGATGGGGCAATATGGGATGTGAGGGCTGCTTTCTTTTGCACACCACATACTTCAATAGTCGTGCACATGTCTGTGTGTGTGTGTGTGTGTGTGTGTGTGTGTGTGTGTGTGTGTGTGTGTGTGTGTGTGTGTGTGTGCGAGACATCTGCAGACTTGCCATGTTTTACACATTCCAACATGTCCTGCTCTCACTGCTTTGAGGAGTGGTATGGGAAAGTGGTCTGCATGCAAGACCAGGCTAAGGTACATGTTAAAGAGGACGCAGCGTGTTCGTGTCGGCCTGCATTCAAAAAACTTAGTTAGGATTCATTTCTAATACCATGTATTCTTTTTCAATTGGATTTTATAAAACAATCCAGAGGAGCCCTCACAAGCAATGTCTTTAATACCAGAGGTAAAGCACAGACAGAAAGATACCAAGGTAGAGAATGTAGAGCTAGATCAGCTATCAAAGTAAAACACCTTCACTTCAGTCAGTCACATCAGAGTCACAAGTGAAGAGTTCTTCTGCCTTTTAGACAACCAGTCGTACGTATTCGTACATTAGGGATCCATTTTATATGTGTTGACCGGCTGACAACACGATGTACACTGTCGCCAAGCCCTAACGAATAAGTAGTGAGACAAAGACGGACAGGAAAGGAAAGAAACTCATAAATTGCTAAAAGCTCCAAATCTGGCAACAGGCCCACGGCAGCTAGAGGGGCTGACAGAAAGAGAGGTAGACATGAACAAGTTGGGTAGACCCCAAAGCAGCCAGCTGAGCCACTAAGTGCTGATGCAGAAACAATAACTGTCTCTCCTAAGTCAGGAAGGGCTGAAGTAGAAGCAGTAAGTAGGAGCAGGAGGGCTGCTGGCGCCGTGCCCAGGACTGTCACAAAGAAAAAGTTCACACACAAGCAGAAAAAACGACAAGGTGAACCAGTGGTGGTTTGGTCCTGCAGTTAAATTTGAGACAGGAGCTGCTTGGATGTCCGCAAATTGAGGTCTGCGGGGAGAGGCATCATACTGCCAGAAAATTATTCTAAGGATGGCAGAGAGTTAATCCCTTGATGGAGACTTTTTGATGTATTTGAAATTGCTCCTTTCTATCATCAAAATAGGCAAAAACAGTAAATCACCCTTGAGTCTGTAAATTAAAACCCGTTTTTCCTTGTTTTTATAAATGGAAAAAGAACTGTGGAATACATAAGGAAGGAGGATTAGCTAGGCGCCATTGGTAAATAACAACACAAACTCTCATGCAGCTCTACTAACAGAGTTTGAGTTACTATAGCAGGTAGAGAACCTCCAACACCGGCCTGTTACTCTACAGAAACAGGCACACAGGCAAGACAGATTTTAACCCAAGGACCCCCACAATCATGGGGTGCCCTCGCCTTAATTAAAAAAATACTAATACCAGCAGCGCTGCAAATTTGCCAGTGTTTCGGCACTATTTTCTTCAGTAAAAGATTTGAATGAGTTTATTGACTCAGGGCAGTGACTGACAGTATGTCAATTGTTGTACAGCCTAAACTACTGTTAATTATTTCATATTTTAAGTTCCCTCTTAGTGAAATGCTCCGAGTGCAATCAAAGTTACACAGTGTATATGTCTAGAGCTTTTAATGTGAGTAATGTAAGAATGGTAGAAGTGGATCGAATATGCAGCATGTATAAAGAGAACTGGATAAATTGCTGGAGGCTAACAAATTTAACATCAGAGTATAGTGACTCAATAATACAGAAAGAACCCCGCTGGGTTGTAAAGGCCTGAAGAGCCGAGCAGACAAGTGTCTACGCACGCACACACACACACACACACACACACACACACACACACACACACACACACACACGCACACACGCACACACACACACACACGCACACACGCACGCACGCACGCACGCACGCACGCACGCACGCACGCACACGCACACGCACACACACACACGCACGCACACACACAGTGGGTAGAGGCTGGTGGTGGTATTAGGACAGTGATGGGGTGTAAGTGCTGTTGGTAGCGGAGGCTGGGGGTCTAATTTCCGTGATTACCATCCCCTCCAGGTGCTGCCTGCTTTCACATCTGCCCACTAAAGCAGCGACACATGTTCTCCGCACCCCTGGCCTTAAAGCCCCACCCCTCTGCCACCGAATTACCACAATTAAGGAGTCTTCATGCGGAAGCAATTTGGCCAACACTAATGGGCCCAGGCGGTGGGGTGAGGCATGTTCGGGGAGGTAGGGCGGTTGCAGGAAAAATTTGAGTGAGAGTTTTAGAAGGAGTGAGAACGATGAAAGAATGAAAGAGTGAAAAAAGACAGATGTGCAGTGACATAGAGGATTCCCGCGTAGCCACTTGTAAGAGAGATGATTAGTCAGTGGTGAGATAGGCCATTAAAACAAAGTTCTGGATGAGAGGGCC